TCTCTCTCTCTCTCTCTCTCTGGTCTCTCGCGCTGGTCTCTCTCGGCTCGGGCGGCGTACGAGTATAGTATCTCACCGTGGAAATCTAAATGAGATTCGATCCGTCGAGGAAGCCGTCGAGGATTCCGCACGATTCGATCCGGTGCGGGAAGTGAAACCGCTTGGCTCCCTCGATTGAGCGCGCTCGCCAACTCCGGTAATTCGATTCTACGGCGGGGGTTGATTGAAAAGCGGGCGTCTTTCACACAACATTCGCGGCCGCTGGTTTTCCGAAAATAATTTATGTCACACGGTAGCGAATTTAATTAATTTTGGGTATTGCGCGGGTAAATTAAATTAATTAAACGGCCGAACCTTTTCCGCTGATCTCGCCCTTTGACGCTCGTCACGAATCTGGCTATCCTGCTTAATTCTATTTAAAAATGGATACGATCCATTACGATGAATCTCATAATGGGGGACGTTATTTGTTTATTTAATTGACAGAATTAGATTGTACGACGTTAAAATATTGCTAAAAAATATTGCTGTTTAAAATTTCGCAACCACGATCCGGAATATTTTTTTATATCAAGTGACGGCCGGTCTCTATAATACATATTGCAGTTAGCCATCGATAATAACGGTTATAGCCTCTTCGTCTAGAAGGATTTCAATGCGCGGAAAGAGGCGAGGAGTCTGAAAAAAGAAAGACGTGACTTCTTCAATGCCACTCTCGGACATCGGCGAAGATGACGTCGTTGGTAATGGCTTGAGGCGGAGGAGACGGAGGGTCCGTGGAATGGCGAGAGAGAGAGAGAGAGAGAGAGAGAGAGAGAGAGAGAGAGAAGGAGAGAGAGATCGAAGACACTACTCGAAGGAAGAGGAAGATGACGTGTGTAGAGAGGGTGCGACGACGGGATAGGTGACGAGAGGGGTGGAGGGAGATAGCAGCGCGTAGCCTGTGGGACGCCAAGCCGCCAAAGAGTCTGGCAACGAGAGCAAACGGGCGCCGCAGCGTCGCCCGGTACCTGACGATGCGCGTGTTGGTGCGACACGTACGTGCTCGTACC